TGTAGGTGTCTTAGATCCCAGACTACTTTTGTATCTACTGCATCACTCCAGTTACAACAAACAAAACCAGCTAGCTAGTAACAATTCCTGAGTACAGATTTAGAATAGGAAGGCAAAAATGGAGATTAACCTGCAGGCTGATGCTTTGGCCTGCAACAACAGGGAAGCCTCCCAGAGGATCTGTCTCTAGCTCCAAGACCCCATTATGCCTCCTTTGCTTATAGCCCTACTTGCATACTTTAAAAGGTCATTAACTCCATCAATCACCTTGGGCTATTCTTCTAGGCTCAGCTTTCCTATTTTAAAAAAGAATGGGCTGAATTGTTCAAAAATAAATGCACTCTTTACCTAACTTACATAACTGTAACCTCTCTGTATGTCTTTATAATAAAAAATAATGGATTGATACAAGCTGATTATAGGTACTCCAGATTATACTGTATTGTTTTCTCTACTTTCCATAATAAAACATTTTTAAAAACCAGGATGGATTAAATCAATAGATTTCAACCTTTTTTAAAGCAATAAAACCTTTTCTCTAACCAAAATCTTGCAGAAAGGCTGATATATAAGTGAAATAAAGGTGTATTTCCTCCTCACTCTCAGCTCAACCCAAAGCATAGGATTCAAAGAATACAGTTTAATGAAAATCAGTAGGCCAGACTAATTTGAAGGATTCTTCTGGCACTTTTGCTTTCCTGTAGCTATATTGGCTTTATACTGGCCATTAGCCTATATATCCTGCCCCAGAAATAGTCAACCTAGGCTATTAATCATCTCTGCAGTCTTTGGAGAATTTGTCTGAATGGCTGTAGAAACATGGGTTGCTATTAGAGATGCATTTCAATATCTGTCTCTGCTGAGTGTTTATTAACAATCTTGTTAATCCCCACTCTAGTTTTCAGATCTAGCTAACGCCTGTTGGATATCCTCAAGAGGCATTTTAAATTCTCCCTGATTTCTTGGAGCCAGACACTTCTCTCTGCTTGGAGTCCTCTCTGATACTTTATTCATGAATATTTCGCATTTAATCTTCCTGACTTTAGTTCCATATAATGGTCGTAGTACATTGACTGTATTTCTCAGAGAACACATAGGAGGCCGACTATAAAGGGTTGAGTTTGTGGGCATAGGGCCAGGGATCTTTGTGCTTGCCATGTAACTGGCCTTCTACCATTGGCCATGGTGGAAAAGATTCTGAATGATGAGCTCTGCAGGGGACTCTCATCCTAGGGCTTTGTAACCTGGCTCATGACCCCAAGAAGCTTGGCACTTTCACTTAGGATCAAATATTACCAGGAACTTCCCAGTGGGCCTTTGAGGCCACATGTGGGTCACTGTGACCAGTGTTCGTCTATAGCTTCCCAGTTCATACCCCAGGCTCAGTTTTTGTGTGTTCTTCCTCCAATACTACCATTGAGTCTTACCTCAGAAGAGAAACTCACCTGCACTCAGAAGAAAAAGTCATCCCCAAATACCTAAGGGTGTTGGTTTTAAAAATTAGCCTCAGGTTCAGAGCTGGTGGCTCATTCCTGTAATCCTAGCTACTCAGGAGGCAAAGATCTGAGTAGTGTGGTTCAAAAGAAGCCTGGGCAGGAAATTCTGTGAGATTCTTATCCAATTAACCACAATAAAAGCTGCAAGTGGAGCCTTGGCACAAGTGGTAGAGTGCTGGCCTTGAATACAAAGTTCAGTGAGAGCACCCAGGCACAGAGTTCAAAGCCCAAGACAAGCACACAAAAGGAATCAACCCTAACGATAGGAAAGATCAAGCTTCCTCGAGAAGAGAGAGGGGAGGTCTAAGAGTAAGACCCTGCTGACAAAGGGCATGGAAGAACGCAGAAATAATGGTCAGAGAAGCAAGGGATAAGCCAAGGGAGCATAGTATCCTGAAACCAAGAGAGGAAGCCATTTCCAAGGTGATGTGGTATGTTATGACATGTGACAGATACTATAGGAAAAGTAAAGGAATATGAAGGAGTTGAAAGTGTACTAGAGAGCTGGGAAAGTGGTTTAGTGGTAAAGTGCTTGCCTCACATGCATAAGGCCCTGGGTTCAATTTCTCAGTACCATATAAACAGAAAAAAAAAAAAAAAAACTGGCAGTGCATCATGGCTCAAATGGTAGAGGACTAGCCTTGAGCTGAAGGGACAGCTCCTAGGCCCAGAGTTCAAGCCCCATGACCGGAAAAAAAAAAAAAGAAGAAAGAAAAAGAAAGAGTACCAGAATTCCCCTAGAAGGATCTCATAGCACACATGGGATTCACTCTGCTCTGGCCTAAAATGAATGTCTGGAGCCCATCTGTCAGATGTCCAACTCTACTATGGATAACTAAGAGGCCATTTGGCCACAGAGAGGTATGCAAGGACCTCTGACTTTCTGCTTCTCCCACACTGTGGGGGACAGATACTGTCTATAAGAAGTTTCTCAAGGGCTAGGAATGTGGCTTAGTGGTAGAGTGCTCTCCTAGCAAACATGAGTCCCTGGGTTCGATTCCTTGATACCACATAAACAAACAAACACATAAAACTAAAATAAGGCCGGGTGCCAGTGACTCATGACAGTAATCATAGCTACTCAGGAGGCTGAGATCTGAGGATAGCAGTTCAAAGCCAGCCCAGGCAGGAAAGTCCATGAGACTTTTATCTCCAATTATCTCAGAAAACCAAAAGTGGCACAGTGCTAGCCTTGAGCTGAAGAGCTGAGGGACATTGTTCAGGCCCAGAGTTCAAGCCCCATGGCTAACAAAAAAAAACTAAAATTAATTTTAATAAGTTTTTTATTGTGAAAGTACTGTACAGAGGGGTTACAATCAAATGAGCAAGGTAATGAGTGCATTTCTTATCAAGCATTGTTGCCTCCTCCTTTGTTTTTCTCCTACCATCCCTTCCCTCCCATCTCTACAACTACATCCCCTCCCCCCAAAAAAACTAAAATAATTTTTTTAATTAAAAAAAGAAGTCTCTCAAGGAATCTAAGCCCAAAATAATGGATTGGGAAGGCCTAAGAAGTTACCTGAGGGGTCTGGGAAGGTGGCTCAGTGGTAGAGTGCTTGCCTAACATGCATGAGGCCCTGGCTTCTATTCCTCAGCACCACATAAGCAGAAAAAGCTGGAAATGGCACTGTGGCTCAAGTGGTAGAGTGCTAGCCTTGAACTGGATTGTTCAGGGACAGCGCCCAGCCCCAGAGTTCAAGCCCTATGACTGCCCCCCATCCCCACCCAAAAAAAAAGAAGAGGAAGAAGTTACCTGAGATGCAGGTACTACAGCATCCTGCCTTCCTTAACAAATCTTCCTGTCTTTCGTGCCCCCCTCCCCACCCCCCGCCTCAAGAAGTGGGGATCAGAGCAGAAATGGAGACCCAGGTTCTGCCCTTGAGAGCTTGCAAACCACTGTAGCAGCAGCAGCATAGCCCACCCAGGGATATGCTAGTTATCCTAGAGAAACACAGATAAGGCCAGGATTCCTCCCTTCCCCCAAACATACTGGAATGTCTCCTTTCCTTTAGTGACAAGCCTCATTTGAAAAGGAGCAAAGCCACCAACCATTATGGTCATATATCCTCAACTTGCTAGGTCACAGATCCCTAGACCTGACACAGTGAGGATAGCCCTGGGGCATTCTACTTGCCTATCTGCCTACTTTATATACCCACAAAGGCAGAAGAGGCAGAAGACTTAGATCCTCTTTGTAATCTTCATAAGTTTGGGACTGTAGTTCCTCTGTAGTTAAAATGTTAAAACATCTAGGATGGTAGTGTCAGTATTGAGGATTGGTTACCAACTTCTTAGGGAGACTTAAGATGACTAAAGCTCCTTCCACCTGAAGCAGGATGGGCCAGGGTCCTGGCTATTGAACAGAGAAGAGTATTTTGGAGGAATGGCAAGGCTAGAGAGGACTCTGGACAGTTTAGGAGGTCAAGGTACTAGTGGGGAGATGGCAAGTGAGAATGAAAAGATTGCACATCCTGGACAACCCATGGAATGTATGCTTCCTTTCCTTCCTGTCATCTGTAGCAGCAAATGTTCTATACTCTAGATGTCATAAAACCAACCAGCCATCTACTCATTGTCATTATTTATTTCTCACTTACCACATTCAGTCAACCTCTCAGGTTCTTGGAACTTATCTGGAAACTGGAGAAGTCCTCATTTAGAACTCTGTGTGTGTAGGTGTGGGTGTGGGTGTGGGTGTGGGTGTGCGCCAGTCCTAGGGCTTGAACTCAAGGCCTTGGTCTGTCCCTGAGCTTTTTTGCTCAAGGCTAGCACTGTACTACTTGAGCCACATCTCTACTTCTAGCATTTTAGTGGTTAATCAGAAATAAGACTCTCACAGACTTTTCTGCCCAAACTGGGCACAATCCTCAAATCTCATCCTCCTGAGTGACTAGGATTGCAGGTGTGAGCCACTGGCACCCAGCTATGACTTTTTTTTTTTAATCCAGTGGCTGAAGCCTTAATGTCTGGCCTGTCTTGAACAATTCAGTCTCTGGATCTTGCAAAGAGACTTACTCTAGCACTATGTGAAATGGAGGGAGAAGGCTTGTCCCAGGAAATATACTCTGATCTTAGCCCAAATTGTACTCATAGATTCTGGAAAGACTTATACTCTGATCTTAGCCCAAATTGTGCTCATAGATTCTGGAAAGACTTTTCCTAATAAGTGGACATTAAAAAAAAAAACCTGAGAAGCAGGGCAACTAGTATGAGTGTTTAGAGAGGATGTTCTGTGGGTTTAAGGAAATTGTGTTGCTGAGGGAGCTTGGATCACACAGAACTTTAAAGACATATCCAGTTGGGTGTAGATGGGACCAAAATTCTTGGCTCTTCTACCTAGGTCCCCATTTTTGTCCCATGGCGGATAAGCCTTCCTTCCCTGAATGCCTGATTGCTGCCAAGAACAAATGCTTCTAGAAACCAGAAGACAGTTGGGAAGGCTTGCTTCAACCACTGTGCTCACTGTACTAACAACTCCCTCTCTCTTTGCTTTCTCCCCCCAAGGATCCAGCCGCCGCCTCCATCTCAGACGGAGACTGTGACGCCCGGGAGGGTGAGTCAGTAGCCATGAATTACAAACCATCCCCGCTCCAAGTGAAGCTGGGTGAGTGTGTCCGGGGGGTGATGGAGAGGTGGGGGAATGGACAGTGTGCTCTGGGCTGGGTCTACAGAGAGGTGCCACAAATATTTTAATGCTCAGTAAAGATGATTCCAAGGTTCATGTCATTGACATGTCATGTACCATATCTCCTGCAAGGCAAAGAAGGCAGTTACAGCTGTCTTCAGAATCTTGAAAGTCTGGGAGATACCACTGAGGTTAAAAGGCTTCAGGTATTCTAGGGGATAGCTGCAGAGGTAAAAAGCATGGAACCTCAGGGGAAGAATTTAGAAGTCCCATCAGAGACTTCCTGATCAGTCCCTGGATCAGTCTGCGAAAGAGAGATGAGATCAGTTGCTGTGTCTGAAGGATAGAAAGTAATGAGAGTTCCAAAGTCTAGAAGGTGAGTCCCTTCCCCAGTCTAACCAGATCCTGTTACTATTTGGAGAAACTATTCCTTATTTTCTCAGTAAACTCTAGTATATTCCTGTCTTCCAAGATACCTCATCAGCTTTTCCTTGCAGACTTGTTTTATGCCCACTAGATCCCCATTTACTGTACATCTTGTTCCTTTGAAGTCACCTGTCTCCCACAGCTGCCCAAAGCTTCTACAGCTATATTTCTTTTTTTTTTTTTGGTCCGGTAGTGGGGCCTGAACTCTGAGCCTGGGCGCTGTCCCTCAGCTTTTCAGCTCAAGGCTAGCGCTCTACCACTTGAGCCACAGCGCCACTTCCAGCTTTTTTCTTTTTGCTTATGTGGTGCTGAGGAATCGAACCCAGGGCATCAGGCATGCAAGGCAAGCGCTCTACCACTGAGCCACCTTCCCAGCCCTACAGCTATATTTCTTACATTACCCTCTACTGATCACTGCTCTTCTCCCTTCAGGGACCACAGTTTCACTGAACCAAGGCTTCTGTAGATAACAGACATTCAGCAAATATTTGATTTCATGAGGAGACATTATAACATGGTACACAGGGAAGCACTGACAATCAGATACTGATCATCACTGTCTTTCAAAACTTCTTTACCATCCTGGCCATCTTTTTCCTCTTACCTTAGCTGTCTGACAAAAACCAGGCTCTTCCTCTGTGCTAAAAGCCCCTTCCTATCTTTTCCAAGCCCTTCTTCCTGTGTAGCTGTCAGGACTCCTTTCCACCGAGGACTGTTCTTTTTTTTTTTTTTTGTAAACCAGGGCTGAGAACCGAACCCACGGCCTTGCGCACGCCAGGCGGGCGCACTTCCGCTGGGCTAAACCCCCAGCCCCCGAGGACTGTTCTTTTAGTCAACTTTCTTTTTCTTTACTTTCCTTCTTTGGTACCACATTGAGGGAACCCCTAGAGTCATTTTCTGAACAGAAGAGCAGTTCTTTCGTGGATATTATTCATTTTCCTAAGACATCAGATTCAAATAGCAGCCAATTTTGTGTATTATTGTGTGACAATGAAAGTATTTCAACTAATATGTTATCTATCCCACAGTATATTCTCTTCTCCAAAAAAGATCATTTCAAGATTTTGTAGTTTAGGTAGTTTTATTTTCTATTTTAATACAAGGAGCATCATATTATATGCATTTTATGAAACGTTCTCCCTTTTCCACACACATACATTATGTCTTGGGCTTCTTCCATCGTCAGTATATAATTACTTCATTCTTTTAAATGCATAGTAACATGTAATTTAGTTTGTAGTAGCTTAGTGTTTGCATTTTTCACTATTTCAAACAATTTTAACATGCTTTTTAAATAACATCCCCTCATCCCCCCCCCACAATCACTTGCATTACTACTACCTACACTCATGAAGACTCTTGTTCCAGTTGCCCTACAGAAAACTAGACCACCAGAAACTTTAAAGCAGATTGCACCCCCTAGAGGCTTGGAGTGGTAATGGCACCTGTTGCCTTTTGGAAAGACTGGACAAAGCTGAAGCAGTCAAATGAGCAAACAAAGATGGCCAGAATAGATGAGAGAATATGAGACATAGAGGTCAGGGGACATTTTGAAATGAATCACAGTGTCTGTAAAAGTCTTTCTCATCCTTGTGTTCATCCTTATTCTTTCACACAATAGGCCCTTTTCCTAGATCTGGGCTTCACTGTTTAGGAAAGAGGACATAGGCCACCTCTTGGATCCAGAAAGCAACTGATTATAATAGTTGTTATATACCAAACTGGTCACCTAAGTGACCAGCCCCATGGCCATCCCCATGAGTCTGGTAGAGCACAGAGGTTGGCAAGAGTTAAGAACATTGCTTAGGCAGTACAACCTATGGTTTATCCCCAGCCTCCTTCCCTGTCTTCCTACTTCACAGTGTTGTGACTCCTTTTTTGCCTTCTGCACTAATCTCAAACACCACAGTCTAATATTCAAGGCCTTCATACCATAAATTTGTAACCAGAAGTAATCTCCAGCCTCTTAGCACAATACTTGACACATATTCATTTAGTGAATAAGTGACTGAATAATGTCTTCTTTTCCAGCCTCACCTTTCTCCCTCATCACTTCTTCATCCATTTGGTTTCACATTTATGATTACTTTGGAGTTCATTTTTGAGCCAAGGATAGTGGTTCATAACTGTAATCCCACCTATTCAAGGAAGCATAGGTAGGAAGATCATGGTCCAGCTCACCTGGGCAAAAACTCAAGACCCTTCTTGAAAAATAAAGCAAAAGGGGCTGGGGACATGGCTCAAGTGGTAGATCACCTACCAACCCCCGTACCACCACCAAAATGCATTTCTGTACATACTGTCATTCCTATTTAGAATGTCCTCCTTGCTAGTTTATAGTGTCACTTTCAAGAAACCCTCCCTGACTGCTCCAACACTTCCTCTGAAGCTTTTCCTTGACATTCAGCATGCAATGCCTTACCTAGGTGTTATGACTCCTACAAAGCAAGTGTCAATCTCTTCCTTTTTGCCCCCAACTTCTACCTCATGTCATGTGCAGCCAAGTGTCATCTCTACTGAGCATCAGGGGCCTGGAATCAGAATATCTACCTCTGTCCATAGAGCAGCAAGAGGTTCCACAATGAAGACCCAGCCCAGGCTTCCCCAAGCAGTAAGACAGGGTGGCCTGGGGCAGGACACAGCTTCCTTCCCATGTTCCCCTGCAGAGAAGCAGCGGGACCTGGCCCGGAAGGGCTCCCTGAAGAATGGCAGCATGGGCAGCCCTGTCAACCAGCAACCCAAGAAGAACAACGTCATGGCCCGGACGAGGTAGAAGCCCTTACTACTCCACCTGGATCCTGCCAGCCAGAGCCAGTCTCTGCTGGTCTGAGCCTCCCCCTCTACCCTCTCTTCTCAATTGAGATCCAAGATGGAGAGGGAGGGAAAGAGGAAAGAAAGTGGTGGGTCAGGGCCCAATCCAGTCCCCTACCAGATTAATAAGCTCCAATTAGCATTCTAACTCCAAAAATTCTTTACCCAGGCTGGTCGTCCCCAATAAAGGCTACTCTTCACTTGACCAGAGTCCAGATGAGAAGCCACTGGTAGCTCTTGATACAGACAGGTACGTATAGGATCTGAGGGCAACTGGGCAAGCCAATTGAATCTGTCTGAGCACAAAAGGGCTGTTCAGGATAGACCTGTTCTATTGCCAGAGTAAGATATTTCTTAGCTAGGAACTCTCTAAGGATGAATTACCCAAGGAATAGATTTTCTTCGTCCAGGAAGTGGGAGTGGATGAGAAAGGAAAGGTACCAATACAGTCTGCTGCTAACCTGGGACAACTTATTCAATTGTGCCTTGGTGGATGTCTCTGGACAGCCTGATGCAATGCTTAATGTTCCTCTTTCTCTAAGGGAAGAACCCTATCCATGGGGAAATAGTTGGCAGACTTAAACTTTGAGAAAACCCTGCAAGCCAGTGTGATTTCAAGGGAAGCCGTGAGAAAAGAAAGAAGGAAGGGAAGTGAAGGGAGTGGCAGCTCTATTTGGAAGGAATTTAAGGATTCTTTTGGAAGAATGAAGCTAAGGAATCTGTCTTTGAAAAATCTTTATTTGCACAGCAAGCAAAGGTTATAATATAGTTCTTGTCTGTTTAGGGGAGAGGTATGGTATTGTCTGATGTGGAAAGGTCAATACCCTCCAACTCACTTTTTCTCTGTCCTCTTTTCTTTATGGCCAGTGATGATGACTTTGATATGTCCAGATACTCTTCTTCTGGCTACTCCTCTGCTGAGGTGAGGCCCTTCCCCTTTCAACCCCACAAAGCAGATCCACCTCCATCAAGGAACTAAGATGGTCAAGGGTAGTGGAGGAAAAGCCAGTTGGAGCCTATGTAGGGTAGCAGAGTATAGGGTTGGAGAGCGTCTGGAAGAAATCACTGCCCTCCATTGCCAGAAACCATGGGTTATTGGAACAGGGCTCTTAAATAGAATGAGGTGTGAAATGCAGGCAACAGCCTATAGAAGTACCTCTGAAACTGGGCAAAACCCAAATAGAAACAGGACTAGACGTCTGTCATAGTAAGACCTCAAGACCTGGTGGAAATGAGGCTCTGAAAGAGAGACTCAAACCTCACTTGAGGGTGGAGTCTAGATGAATGGATGACCTGGGCTGCAGAGAGACGGAGGATGAGATGGGTCTGACAGGTGATGCAGTTGGGACCCCAGCCAGGACTGGGGGCTTTCAGTCAACTTGACCTGACCTCCCTTTCCTTTGTCTACAGCAGATCAACCAAGATTTGAACATCCAACTGCTGAAGGATGGCTACCGGTTAGATGAGATCCCTGATGACGAGGACCTAGACCTCATCCCCCCCAAGTCCGTGAACCCCACCTGCATGTGCTGCCAGGCCACCTCCTCTACTGCCTGCCACATTCAGTAGCAGGTGGGGTCGCCACGGCTGCATGGAGCAGGGCCAGCTCGGGCCAGGTTGGATGAGGTGCCTTCCTCACCTCATCCACCTGCCCCCAGCCTGCACCCCATGCAGCCACCAACCTTGTAACAGTCATTGCTTCCTCCTATGGTAGGACGTGTACCTCTGTGTGTTCATGGAGCAGGAGAAACCAAAATGGAGTCTCTTTCCACCCTGGAGGCCGAGGAGGGGTGGGGGGGTTGTTTGTTCAGTTATTTGTGGGACCTCACCCAGCACCCAGCCCACCTCTGCAAAGTTGAAGTCCAGGCCAAGGACTAGACACAGGGAGGCCAACAGTAACAATGGAGGTGAGGGGGATCACAGGGCCAGAGGGTTGACCCCACCCCCATTGAAGCCATGAATCCCCCCCAACCACAGCCTAATCAGGAAAGGGATTTGAGTGGAGAAAGGCCCAAGTCAATGGGGGCAGGTCCTAGCCCCTCCACACACCTCACAGCCCCTCCACACCTGCCCCCCTTACAAGCCCATGTCCCCAGTGTTTTCTCCCTCCTCTGCAGCCTGGCAAAGCTGCCTAAGGGAATATTGTTCCCCACCCATCAGATTGCAGCCTTCTTCCTCTTTGCCACATTCATCCTCTTCCTTGCTGTCTGGGTATGGAGATGGGTAAGGCGGGCCTGAGAGAAAGGCCAGAATTGGAGATGTTATAGCCTGTTCTTACTGGCCTATAACCAATGCATCTATCTCTCTGTCTGGATGTTTCTGTTCACTGGTTCAAGCTAGAAGCAGAGTGTTAAGTCTGGCCTTCAAGACCCCGTTTCCAGCTCACCCCAGTCTGGGAGGCTAGTTCCTGGAAAGACTCTTCAAGGAGCAAGCTTAGAAAAACATAGTGGATGGAGTGACTGCATGAAGTGCTGGGCAATGTGTGTGTGTGTGTGTGTGTGTGTGTGTGTGTGTGTGTGTGTGTGTGTGAAGAGAGGAGGGAAAGAGGCCCAGAGGCTGTCAGGATGTATGTTCAAGTGTCTACATCTCTGTGTTGGACCTGTAAGAGACAGGTGTCTTTTCCTGATGCATATATGGTATCCATAGTGAGAAAGTAGCTCTGGTCTGTTTTCAGTGTGAGAAGCTGCTCAGCAGTGCAAAGGTCTGGGCTCTAGCTCTGGTACTCTCCTGTGATCTTCAGCAAGCCATGAACTTTCTCTGGGCTTTACCTCTCAATTGTAAAATAAACAATAGCTGAAATTATTCTCTTAAGGTCCTTGAAGACCTGAAAGGAATTTCTTTACAAGATTTTCTATAGAGAGGTCTGTTTCTATGTGGGAAGGGGGAGTTTCCACAAGTACCTAAGGATCTGTTTGGAAAAGATGCAGGTGTGTGCACAGGTGTTTGTTGTGTATGTGCCTCTAGGAGGGTCTGTGGATTGAAATATACATACTGCTGCTGCTTCTGTTCTGATGCTTCTTAGCAAAGCTAAAGATGCAAATCAAGAGAGGGAGGCAGTGAAGAGAACCCTCCCGTGGGCTGAGAAACATAGAACTACCGTCCAGGTGAAGAAAAGTAAAAGCAGGTAGTTTCAGATGGCTCAGGACTATGCCCCTTAAACCTCCTTCCACAGGCCCAAGGTGAACACTGCCCCAGTTCTCCATGCTGACTCCCCACACATGATGGTGCATCCACTGTCATGGATGCCACTCACATGCTGCTGTCTGGATGCCAGTCCTGGGAGGTGGGAGGTGGTGAATGGAGGTGGTGAGAGGAGGAAGGGTAGCACCTCTCCCTGCACCACACCCAGGAGCTGCAAACTCCCCAACACCTCCAACCACCCTTACCTCCTTTAGATGAAAAAATACCAAAGGGAATTAGGCAGAGAAGGTATCTGTAGGGCCCCCAAGGTCCAAGCTGGCCCCTATCTGAGCCCATCTCTCCTACCCCATCCGAGACTCAGTACCTCCACCATCACCACCCTGGACTCCTTGACTCACCCTTCTAGAACATGAGTACTTCCTCTCTTTTAGACTCCTGCCTTTGCTGCTGACTTACTGTATGACCTAACCCATTGTTCAATTTCTGTGGTCCTAAGGAACCAGGAAAAAGCTCCCTGCCTACAGAACAAACTAGTTCCTTGGCAGGCAAGGACTTCTGGCTGAGGCAATCTATATATAGTTAGGTAGATATGGAGGGGAAAGGTAGGAAGCTGGCAGCCAGCAGCTCCTGCATCTAGGGAGAGTGTGTGGTTCTCTCCTTCCCTGTTTGGGTGTTGGAGGGGAAGAACCACGGCCTTAGCTTGCCCCCTGCTCCCCAGTCCTCTTGTAGATACTGCCTTAACACCCCCCCTCCCAGCCCTCGGCTGTGGCTGCCACCCAGCCAGGTTTCTCCGTGCTAATTTATTTCCAGGAAGGTGTGTGGAAGACATGAGCCGTGTATAATATTTTTTTTAACATTTCCATTGCAGTATTGACCATCATCCTTGGTTGTGTATTGTGTAACACAAATAATGATATTAAAGGCATCAAACAAGCCAGCCTCACTCAGCTCCCTACCTGGGATGTGGGACAAGGGAAAATGGGCTGAGAAGGGGAGAGAATTGATCTTCCAGGTGAACATGTCCCTCTACCTTCATTTGTAGGCTTCTGGGATGCCACTAACCTGCTGTGTGGCCTTAAGTGAGCCACAACCCTCAGAACTTCTGTTTCTCTCCAACAAAATGAGAAATTCGGCTGAGAAGGTCTTTAGGGGCCCTTAGACTGCTTGAAAATGGAGCTCTTTAGAGGGACTTGAGATAGGAAAGGGCCAGGAGTAGGCAGGAAATTAAACACTTGGCTAAGCCAAGTGATATCATAATGGGCAATTTCACCCTATAGAAGAAAGCTTAGTGGGTGGGAGCAAGAAAGCTATAGAGGAGGGCAACTGAAAGGTCCTCCATAAGAGGGGGGTCACAGCAACTGGGGCACCTTCCAGGCTGTGGGAGTGGGCTGACTACAGAGAGAGGTGGTCACTGATGTCCAGCAGGAGCCCTTCATACATAGAGCCCACCACAGCATCCCCAAGACCCTACTATGTTCCTCTTCTCTCATAAGACCAAGACTCCCATCAGCACCTACAGTGACTCCTTCAGGGCTCCAACCTCCATCAAGGAGGTCTACAAGGACCCACCTCTCTGGGCCTGGGAGGCCAACAAGTTTGTGACTCCGGTAAGTGGTGGGTGGGGGTGGGGGTGGGCAGGACAAACTACATGACAGTGTGTGTTTGAATGGGATGTAGTTATCAATATGTGTAATTCTTTATAGCTTTGGATCTGGGTCCGTTTTATTCATTTGCTTAGGCACAGAATTTACAACGGTTATGTAAACTAGTGTAGGATCCTGCCCTCCTGGAACCACAACAGGATGGGAAGTGGAAAGAGACATAATAAGCAAGAAATAAACAAGATTTTTGAAAATTGTCCAATTGTTACAAAAAAAAATAAGCAGGGCAATAGAGCTAGAAAAGGAGAGCTTCCATAGGTTAGGGAGCCCTCTTTCTCTCAAGGTGACATTGTGCTAAGCCTGGAAAGATGAGAAATAAACTAGTCATTCTTGTGCAGAGTGAAAAAATTAAAAGTTCCAGACAGACTCATCAGAAAATGTAAAAGCCCTGAGGCTGCCAGTAGAATAAGCCAGAAAATATCCTGTAGGCATGACTTTACACATGTGTATCATTCCTCCGTCTGTCTCTGCAGACAGTTAAATGGGGTCTTAGAATCCACTTGTGATATTCTGCCTACAAGAGTTTGTCTTTGTGTACCGTCCCATAAAATTTTGTTGAATAGGCACCTGCCTGTGTGGCGCACCCACAATACAAAAAAGAAAGGCCACCCAAGTTTTGAGGAACGCATAGCCAAGTTCAAGCCCTAGTACTCCTCCCTCCCTTTCCCAAAACAGTAATAACTGAATCTTAGGGGTCATGGATGGCTTGCCAAAGAAAAGTAAGAAAATGGCCAAGGACAGAACTTTGGAGAATATCAATATTCAAACACTGGTAAAGAACCATATAAGGAACAGAAGTATGGCCACAAGTCTAAGAGGAAAAGCCAAGGACAAACCAATGAAAACAACAAAACTAGATAAAGGTCACTGTCAGATACTACCCACACAGATGCTAATCTGGCCAGACAATGTATGGAGAGGAGCAAAAGTCAGATAGCAGTGAAAATAAGAATGTAGGAGCTGGGCACTGGTAGCTCATGCCTGTAATCCTAGCTACTCAGGAGGCTGAGATCTGAGGATACTGGTTCAAACCCAGCCAGGGCAGGAAAGTCCATGAGACTCTTATCTCCAATAAACCACTAGAAAACCGGAAGTGGCATGGTGGATCAAGTGGTAGAGCTCTCGCCTTGAGCTGAAGAGCACAGGGACAGCGCCCAAGCCCAGAGTTCAAACCTCACGACCAAAAAAAAAAGGAGGAGGAAAGCCTAGAGCTTTTCTTGTGGTAACAGTATGATAGACTCTGACCCTTCTGCTTCTTAACAATGAGGTCTAGCTGAGTATAGTGGCATACCATACCCAGGAGGATCACAAGTCAGAAATCAACCTGCACTACTGAATGCTGGGTACCAGTGGCTCACTCCTGTAAACCTAACAACTCAGGAGGCTGAGATGTGAAGATCACGATTTGAAGCAGCTGGGGCAGGAATGTCCTTAAGACTCTTATCTCTAGTTAACCACCAGAAAATTTGAGGTGGTGCTATGGCTCCAAGTGGTACAGTGCTAACCTTGAACAAAAGAGCTCAGGGATAGTGCCCAAGCCCAAGCTTGGAGCTATGGCTCAGAGACAATACCCAGGCCTGAGTTCAAGCTCCAGGACTAGCACACCAAAAAAAAAAAAAAGCCCATACAATTAAGTATTGTAAAAAAATTGATGTTTATTTTGTTTTGGACTTCCATGAATGTGAATGATCAGTTATTTAAGAAGCCAAGATTGCCCTCAGAATAAATTCCAATACAAACACTACAAGGAGTATAAACCTAATTTACTAAAAAGGTAAAGGGACTAATTCTCTGAATGCCAAACTGAAACAAATGTTTCAATGTCTCTGGCTCCCTGCCAACACACACACACACACACACACACACACACACACACACACACAAAATGTGGATCTTCTATGATAGAAAATATTGGAAATGGCACTGTGGCTTAAATGGTAGAGCTCTCACCTTGAACTGAAGAGCTGAAGGACAGCACCCAGGCCCAGAGTTCAAGTCCCATGACTGGCCAAAAAAAGAAATTCAACTATGGTAGAAAATATCCTCAATGTAGGTTTTTAGTTATCTTTTAGAGTAAGACCAATCAAACAAGAGTTCATAATAAAATATATGAAAACAGCCAGGCACTGGTGGGCTCATCTGTAATCCTAGCTACTCAGGAGGCTAAAATCTGCTATTATCTGAGGATTATGGTTTAAAGCCAGCCCAGGCAGGAAAATTTATGAGACTTTTTTTTTACTGTGGAGCCTGAACTCTGAGTCTAGGCCCTGTTTCTCAGCTCTTCAGCTCAAGGCTAACACTCTACCACTTGAGCCACAGCGCCACTTCCAGCTTTTTCTGCTTATATGGTGCTGAAGAATCAAACCCAGAACTTCATGCATACAAGTCAAGCACTCTACCACTGAGCCACCTTCCTAGCCCTTATGAGACTCATCTCCAATTAACCACAAAAAAGCAGGAAGTGAAGCTGTGGCTTAAGTGGTAGAAAACCAGCATTGTATGAAAAATCTAAGGGACAGCACCCTACGTTCAATAAGCTGAAGGACAGCTGATTTCAAGCCCCAGTACCAGCACAAAGAAGAGAGGGAAGGAAGGAAGGAAGGATTTACAAAATCAAACCCCCAACATTGTCAAAAACATAGGAAAGTGGAGGAAAGGAGGGAAATGAAGGGGAAAAGAGTTGGACATGGTATTTTATGCTTATAATCTTATCACTAGGGAGGCTGAGGGAGGTAGATTGTGAATTTGAAGCCAACCTTAGCTACAGAATGAGTATGACTCTAGCTTAGGCTCTATAACAAGACCCTGTCTCAAGATATATACCCCTCCCCCAACAGGAGATAATGAAAAGATATTTTCAGGTAAGCAAAACTAATTATGATCTTATGGTTGAGGTATAGGCCACTAATACAAGGATTTGCCTGGTGATCATAAGGACCTGGATTTAGTCTACAGCACAGAATAAAACCAAAATGTTTGCTATCGTCAGATCCATAATGTATAATAAGAGAAATGTTGAGGGAAGGAAAATTATCACAGAAGGAAAGATATGCGATAATAAATAACAGATAAACAGGAAAATTTAAGCAAATACCTTTGGGAAAATATAGTGGTATATTTAAAGAAAGAATTAAACTATTAAGTGATATTATTATATAAGTTAGTAAAGGACAAAGTTAATGTGTTCCAAGAACCTCACATTATTCTAAAGAGGGTAAAAGATAGTTTTGTACTACTAACTAGCTGCAACTACAAATCCCAGACTTTGCTTCCCTAAGTAGCTCTGGAATGGCTACAAGAGAAATTTACATGAGATCCAAAAGACATAAATAAAAAGGCAGCTACTTCCATTTTTATCCTTTGAAAGTTGGTGTATGGCCAGGTAGGCATAGTATTACACACCTGCAAGTCCAGAACATGGGAGGCTAAGGAAGAAGGGTCCTGAGTTTGAAGGCAATCTGGAAAAGGAAAGAGAGAATGAGAAGGGAAAAAAAAGGAGGAAGGGAAGGAGGGAAAAAAGAGGAAAGTTGTGGTTGGCTTGTTCACAATGGTCACTGGTATAGGGCAGCATCTCCTACAACCTCAGTTCCCACTGGACCTCCCTCCTCCTTTGACATTTTGGGCCCTGGCCCAAGTGTGTGTGCAGCTTTGTCACAAAAGGACACCAGTATCACTGTCCCTATCATCTAGGTTGGAAACCAGAATGCACATGCACACGTTCTTGTTGTCCCCATGGGCTTTAATTTGTTTTTGCTCTTGCCTGCTTCTTGGCCTTATAGAGGTCTTAGCCAGTTCCCATAATTATGTGAAGTCTAATCCCCATAATAAATTCCTTATGCTATATCATGCATACTGGTTCTGCTTCTCTGATCCAAACAGTAACAAAAAGTTAAGAATGTTACTAAATAGCAGATAACATTTTTACAGATAAAATCCATATTAATTCAATGACATACATTTGTTAAATTGGCAAGTTTCAATTTTTCAGGAAGTATAATTATAAATTTATATTGACCTAGTAGAATTTTAAAAGTTGACAAAATCATAACATTTGGTTCCATTTCCTTAAACATTGTTAACATAAGTGGAGAGATACAGGGTGCATTGATACATGTACACAATATGTACCTTGATGAAAAACTAGTCAAGGACAGTATAAGAAAATAAAACTATGCATAAACACAAAAGCCAAAATTCTAAATAAAATATTGGCAAACTGAATGCAGCATTACATAACAATGGATAACTTGTAACTATTCCACAAGTGCAAGATTGGCTTAACATTAGAAAAATCATCTATGGGGCTGGAAAGGTGCTCAGTGGTAGAGGCCCTGGGTTCGATTCCTCAGCAACACATAAGCAGAAAAAGCTGGAAGTGGCACTGTGGCTCAAGTGATAGGGCACTAGCCTTGAGCAGAAGAGCCCAGAGTTCAGAAAGAAAGAAAGAAAGAGAGGAAAGAAGAAAGAAAGAAAGAGAGAGGAAGGAAGAGAGAAAGAAAGAGAGAGAAAGGAAGAAAGAAAGAAGAAGGAAGAAAAGAAAGAAAAAATCAGCTATGGCTCACCTTGGGATCCTAGCTACTCAGGAGGCTGAGATCTGAGGATCACAGTTTGAAACTAGCCTGGGCAGGAACGTCGAACGTCTATGAGACTCATCTCCCATTAACCACCAAAAAGCCAGAGGTGGAGCTGTGGCTCAGGTAGTAAAGTGCCAGCCCTGAGTGAAAAAGCTAAGGGACAGCACCTAAATAGAGTTCAAGTGCTAGTGCTGGCACAAAGAAAGAAAGGGAGAGATGGAGGGAGGGAGACAGGCAGGGAGGGAGGGAGGGAGGGAGAAAGGAACAAAAAATGTCATTCATTAACATACTTCAGGAGAAAAGCATAAAATCATTTCAAAATGTGCAAAAGAGATCTTCTGGTGGGGTGACAGAAATATTCCAAAATTGGGT